TGAAGGGAAGTTATGAGCTGTTTCTGAGAGACAAATAACACCAGGATCCTTTTTTACGTAGCTGACTGTGCAGGGGCGGGTCTAGCAAAGTTTTGCCAGGGGGCCAGGTAGGGCATTAACAGGGAGAGGGGGGCACAAAGAAATACTTTTCTTTCTTATTCTCATTTAAAAACGTCTCACTTTTATTAAATAATTATCTAAATCTTACAACCAAAGATTGTTGAAGATCATTCAAAGGCTTTATGGCTTTTCCTATAATTGTTTGTCCCATTCCAGCCCTGGGTGATGCACCAAGTATGAAGTAAACCAGGATTATTTTGAACTTTGAATCATGCAAAGCTAGTCTGGCAGAGTCCAAGAATAAAAACGCTGCTCTGTTGTCTACCTTCAAGCCATCTTTCTTCTAATTGGCTCACAGACAAGTTACTGTGAAATGACTACATTAGGGACATCGACTCTAAATGACATCACAGAGAGCCAAGAGTGTTCAGAGCACTCTGAGCCTGAGCTTTTGGCCCACAGGGATTAGATACAGTTGTACTCACACTGAGCTCATCATTAGAGACTCTGGTCATGTTTTATATGAGCATCCACCACAGGAACAGGAGATGAGCAAAAGTGCACAACAGGTCCACTTAAAACTCAACTGCATGTGACAAAATGTTGACTCGGTACTTTCTGACGGATGGATCGAATCCTGGTGCCGAGCTGGATTTTGGCCTCCTTATCAGAGCGTGTCCCCGATATATCTGCTTAGAGCTGCCAGGGTTATCGATCTGTGGTACTCACCCAGTAATGACTTCAAACGTGTGGCTATCAGAAACTGGCTTTTCCAAAGCTCCTCACTGTACACGTTCAAAGATTTCCCATTTTAAAAAACAGTTCTTTTATTCTAGTTCTGTGGATGCTGAAAGGTGAGAAGCAGGGCAGACATTTATAAACAGATATCCCAGTTAGAAAGTGTGTGTGTGTGTGTGTGTGTGTGTGTGTGTGAGTGAGAGACATAAAATGGCCAGTTGGAGCTCACAAGTGAAAACACTACTCTTCTAACAAAACACCTGGTTATTAGCAATAATGGTACAGTGATATTTTTTTATCCCCCAAAAAGAAAATAATCAGTTTTGTTCACTCTACATACAGAACATACAGAAACTAAAATACAGTTTTACAGTCTTTACCTGCAGCCATGTTGGGAAATGAACTCTTCTAAAACTGTAATACTCCTCTCAATAAGTTAAAAAATAATTTAAACAACACATTTTGAAAGAGAACATATGCAAAAAACAAAAAAAGAACCCTTTTAAATCTGTTGTATGTCTTTAAAAAAACTACACAACAAATACTGAAGGAAAAACCAGACAGGAAGCAAACGCAAAATAGTCATTTACAAGTCGACATCATCGTATACAAAAGCAGAGTTTTCAGCTCAGTGTTAGTGACCAGTGATTATAAACTCTGAGGGAATATTCCACAATAGTTAATAAATATGCGAGTATACAATAGGACGAAGAGCAGGGGACAAAAAGAGCAGGACACAGACTAGGAGGGGAAAGCAGAATAGTCTCTATGGCTTTTACAGGCTTTGTGGCCCAAATTACCTTAAATATCAGCGGCTGCAAACACCCACCAACCCTCTGAACTCGGAAAAGGGCCGAGCTGCAAAAAGACACGAGGAAAAATAAAGTCGGGGTGGACTTTTAGAAGTGGGATTGTTGGAAAATGATGACTCAGACCTGCTGATCCTGACTTTTAATTTTAAAAATCAGACAAATAGATGAATTTCTGTTAATGTCTCAAATTATTTAACAACAAGAAGAACACTTCCACATCAAGGAGCAGACTGGATCATCCTTAAAGCTGTTTTTATGTGGTCGGATGTGGAATAACGACAAGCCAAGTAAGAGTCTCGCTTTCAAAATCCATAAAGTATTATCACATCCAAAGTATCTGAAGTAAAAGTTCTGCTTCTGCAGTGGTGCCCACAAACAATCAGTGGATACATTTAAAGTTTGCACTGTTCTCTCATCTTTGCTTGGTTTTCAATTAAAATAACAACTCTCCTCCTTCCACTGGGAAAACTAACATTTGGGGGCTTGTCCGGGATCCGGGCTGGGACAGAGACATTAAAGCATCCATAGGTTTGTCTGACTGTATAGCAAAATTATTTTCCTGAACTTTTTCCAGCTGTGTCTGTGTTTGAGTGACAGGTGAAGTATTGAGGAGCCATTGACCCTGAGTCGTTTGTACGTGGTGAGCCATCAGCCTTAGAGAGCTGTTGTACAGGATTGTCCTATTTTGCTTTTGGTGTTTTTCATTCTGGTCCTACATGCCTCGCTTTGAGGTGTTCAAAGGTTCTGAAACTTTGTTTTTAAAAGTGCTACTCAAAGAAAGAAAAAGCTGTTGGGTATATAAAAAGGTTAAAGAAGCAAGGTGAAGAGTGTTATTCGTCATCCTGTATTTGTTTTTCTTTAATTTATTTCCCACTCTGTGGAGTTGAGACGGATATCTGCATGAAAATCAGAAATCCTCCTTTATTTGATTTCTGAAAGCCGTGACTGGAGCCGCTGCAGTCTGTCAGAGTCCCTCAGCAGGTTCTGAGTTAATTATTCAGCGTTTATGATTCAATAAGAAACTTTTGAATTTACAGAGAACGTGCAGCTCTGTTTTGGGGATTTTTCCTATTAGCTCGAGGTGTAGTTGAGTTAGCCTTTGCAATAGTGCTCAGTTATATTTGTAAAAGTGATCTTGTTGGTGCATTGTCACCTTGGTAGCATGACACTGGTTGCAAACTTACACATACATCATGTTTGGCAGTGGGTTTTGGTCTAATTGCACAAACATGCTGTCTGACATGCAAGTCGTCAGTGCTTTGGGGAAACTGGGCGAAATCTGCTGAGAGACCGTCGTCCTCCCGATCCTTTCATGACGGTAAATAAGACCCTCAGTCGTGGTTCTTGGTTATGCAGCTAACTTTACACTGGTCTGTTTATTTGGTCTATAGCTGCTGATCCACACAAACAGCAGAATGATTTTAACCCAGAAACACTGTTTGAGGAAACTTGTGTTAAAATTGTTATTTTTCCCCTTGATTTCCAAGACTTTGTCAAATCGGTTTATCCTGGGAATACACCCAACCTGGTTGCACAATGTTCCAATACCAGGGTAGCAACCAGAGCTACTTGCGGTCACTCAGGACAATGATTGCAATCCCAGTAAATCCACCGTGGAGTGTTTCACAAGTGTCCGAGAAGCAGGTCTCTGCTCCACATCACTCAGAATAGCACCAGGTCTTTTTATTTCTTGACAGAAGCCACATCAAGCTGCAGAAAGCATATGAGGAGGGCAGGAAGTCGGACACAGGACAGCCGGTAAAGAGCTGGGTCCAAAATAAAAGACCCGGCACCGACTAAACACTTTGAACTGCTCGCAATGTGAAGACGTGATGGAACAAGAACTTGTCCAAGACTCGAACCTGCTGTACCCCTGATTTAGGGTTTGGTTATGACCACAGCGCAGAGTCACGGTTAGCTAAACTGCAAGCTTTAAACTTTTGACGTCACTAACCCCGCAGCCAAAGAGAAAAGCTTGTTTGCTGCCGTGCACGCCTTCCATGGATGATTCAACATCATTCATGTTCCAACGATCCCACTTTGATTCTTTTAGGCAGTCAGGAAAAAAAAGAAGAAGAAGAAGAGGAAGAGGTGGAGAGGCAAACAAGTCAATGAGTAATGTGCTAAAAGAAAAACCAAAAACGGCCCTTAACGTCTAAACCCGGCCAGGAGCTACCTCTTTGTTTAGTACGGCGCAAACTTCTGTCTCTCCGGCTTCTTCATTCCATTGGTTGAGGACGAGATCTTGGCTGTGTAGGACGCCAGGGCCGCCGCTGCGTGAGCTTGAACCGGAACGGCTGCCGTCGCCGCTGCCGTCTGCACTGAGGCTGGTAGCACTGGAGCCCCGATGGCCGCTGCGGCCGCCGCCGCTGCTGCCGCTGCTGAGGCGGGAGGGGTGGAGAGTGCCAGGTAGGGGATGGATTTCACTCCCAGGAGGCTGGAGAGGGGGAAGGCGTAGGGAGCGCCCAGGATTTGAGCATGGGGCAGTGCGGCGCCCATCGCTGCCAGGGGGGAGGAGGAGGAGGACGAGGCGGAGACAGGGGGGGAGGGCTGGGTGAAGCTCATGGTCAGATCAACGGGAGACGGCATGGAGGAGGACTGGGCGGTGGATTTGGCGGTCTCTAAACTGGAGGGGGAGGTGGAGGGGAGGGAAGGGGGGGAAGGAGGGTGGAGGAGGGGAGGGGGTCAAGGAGAGGGAATTTTGGATGGAGAAGGGTTAGAGGGTTAAATAAAAGACATGTTAAAAAAAATCAGAGTAAAAACGGAAAAGAAAAAAAAACAAACAGGATCTGTAAAAATGAACCAACGGAAATCTGACAAAACTCAAATCATAAGACGGGCGTGTTTGGCTGGAGGTTGCAACAGATTATTGTAGGGGAGTTTGCTGTACAGATGGGGGGTGTGCTGTATAAGTTGGGGTGATGGCTTGGGAGGGGGCTTAGGGAGGAGGGAACAAAACCATCAGAAAAATTAGCATGGACGCTCCGTCAGAGAGGACGCTGCTTCAAAAACAGGAAAGAAATCCTTTGTGCAGGTCTGTGCTCATCTCTGTGGGAGCTTCTCACCTCATGTTTTAACTAAAAGAAATGTTCTGCACATTTTAGCATCAATCACCATAAAACAGTGAGAGGTGGGCGGGCACGCAGCCCCGCGTCCTCTTCATATTTCCTACATCAGTGCAACCAGCTGAAAACATAATCCAATCAGCTGTTTGAATCACTAACGAGCATCATTCAAAGGCGGGACTTTCACTCCAAAATATACTGGCTTACAAAATCTTATTTAAAATGACATGAACTGTAAATAAGTGTGTGTGTGTGTCAGTATTTTTAAAGGTTTTTATTTCCTCGCATGTTGAATACTCGAGTTTTTCTTGTAGTTGCCTTGGGGCAACGCTGCACAGCAACTGTTCCTGTCTTTGTGTTTGAATGTTATCGCATGTATTTGCACAGCTGAGACTCTAAATGTGATTCAAACTGTAGCTTTTCTGCTTTTAACACGATTATTTCACTGGTTATTAAATGTAAATGGTAAATGGCCTGTATTTGTATAGCGCTTTTACTAGTCCCCCCCTAGGAACCCCAAAGCGCTTTACACACCCACTCATCCACCCATTCACACACACATTCACACACAATGTAAATGTGTTTAAGTTCATGAAACTATCAGACAGCAGGTCAAACATGAAGCTGGAGTGTTCCCGGCATTAGAAACGTACTGTTAAACATTCCCGAGTGCACAGGAACACCAACAAAGGCCAAAACGTCTGCTCACTCTAAAGCAGGGGTCTCAAACTCCAGTCCTCGAGGGCCGGTGTCCTGCAACTTTTCCATGTGTCCCTGTTGCAACACACCTGAATACAATTAGTAGGTCATTAGAAAGACTCTATAGAACTTGACTGCATGCTGAGGTGGCAGTTCAGCCATTTGATTCATGTTACAGCAGCTCATGAGTGAATGAACACGGTGCAATAAAAGTACTTTTAGGAGTACATTTTTCAAACACTTACGAACTTATATTTACTTGAGTAGGGTTAGAGGTTACCACTTCAGCATGCTAATTGTATTCAGGTGTACTGCACCAGGGGCACATGGAAAAGTTGCAGGACACCGGCCCTCGAGGACTGGAGTTTGAGACCCCTGCTCTAAAGTTTCTTGAAGGTGTATGGGTGACGCTTTCAGTTAAACGACTAAACGAAGTAATGAAGTGGAATCGAGTACCATTAAACGAAGAATGCTGTGAAGAGTTTGCTTTTGAAGGCTTATGTTACACTCCCTGTTTGAAAGTCAGCAGTGGTTCATGTCACCGGGAGGAAAACTCCCAGGTCACTGAGACCTTATCCTCTGAAAGACTTCCTTCAATGCACAGCTCCATCAATAGGTGATGCCCCCCATTTAAACACTACAGTTAAGGCAACATATCGATGTTAAACTGAGAACTGCTCATTTTGAACTCGATTCAGAAAAGTTTGACAGGAACATGTTTGCCTCTGAGTTGCATCATCACTTCCTCGTTTAACAACACTGAGCGTCCTCAGGAGAGCAGCGGCTGTAGTTTCCTGTTCTTGCTTTAGGACGCTCCAGCTGTTTTTAATAGGCGGACACCCGTTACATTACATTAGCTCCTCTTGTACTGCAGATTCAGCTGCAGGAGTTCAGACTGTGTTTGGCATCGTGTTCGCTTCGGCAAGACCAGCCACAAAAAAGACAGCCGGGTCTCATGGTGTAAACAATCTGTCTGTGCTCACGGACACATTCTGTCTTTGTATTTACTTGGATGGATTTTCCATTCTGTGTGTTGTTGTGTCTCTGTTATTTAAACACAGGCTTGTATCTGGATTTCCTTGAAGTGTAGTCATGCAGTGGAAACCTAAAAAGTAGTGCTATGCCTCACAGGAGGCAGAACAAAGCAGTGATTTCATATTCTCTAACGTCGCCCACATATGAAACTGATTCATGTTTACCCATATTTCACTGCAGAAGTGGTTACATCGACAGATATTGTACAATTACAAGTTCAATCTGTAAAGGTTGTTGCTCATGGGGTGGGCCCGATTAGAACCTGACAGCGTTATAAAAAGCTTAAAGTTGATCACACTCAGGCAGTGACCGTGTCCGTTACAGAGACTCGATATCAAGCTGTGCAGGAAGCATTGTTTCAATGTGACTTCACTACTGTGTAAGTGAAACAATCGGAGGGTAGATCATTTGACAGATGCACCCCTGTCACACCTTTTTACTGCAGAGCTCTGATTGTACCTGATACCCTCACATATCTATATACCGTATTTTTCAGACCATAAGGCACATTAAGCGAAACAAAACAGTCAGATAAGTCAAACTTTACTCAGCTCATTCTTCTTGCTTCCTCCACTTCTGTACCATTGATTCATTAATGTTGAATTCTCTCAC